CCTATGCAACCAGACTGGCCAGCTCATCTAGGGCTAAGACCTATGCAACCAGACTGGCCAGCTCAGCTAGGGCTAAGACCTATGCAACCAGACTGGCCAGCTCATCTAGGGCTAAGACCTATGCAACCAGACTGGCCAGCTCAGCTAGGGCTAAGACCCATGCAACCAGACTGGCCAGCTCATCTAGGGCTAAGACCTATGCAACCAGACTGGCCAGCTCAGCTAGGGCTAAGACCTATGCAACCAGACTGGCCAGCTCATCTAGGGCTAAGACCTATGCAACCAGACTGGCCAGCTCAGCTAGGGGCTAAGACCTATGCAACCAGACTGGCCAGCTCAGCTAGGGCTAAGACCTATGCAACCAGACTGGCCAGCTCATCTAGGGCTAAGACCTATGCAACCAGACTGGCCAGCTCAGCTAGGGCTAAGACCTATGCAACCAGACTGGCCAGCTCATCTGGGGCTAAGACCTATGCAACCAGACTGGCCAGCTCAGCTAGGGCTAAGACCTATGCAACCAGACTGGCCAGCTCATCTAGGGCTAAGACCTATGCAACCAGACTGGCCAGCTCAGCTAGGGGCTAAGACCTATGCAACCAGACTGGCCAGCTCATCTAGGGCTAAGACCTATGCAACCAGACTGGCCAGCTCAGCTAGGGGCTAAGACCTATGCAACCAGACTGGCCAGCTCATCTAGGGCTAAGACCTATGCAACCAGACTGGCCAGCTCATCTGGGGCTAAGACCTGTGCAACCAGACTGGCCAGCTCATCTAGGGCTAAGACCTATGCAACCAGACTGGCCAGCTCAGCTAGGGCTAAGACCTATGCAACCAGACTGGCCAGCTCAGCTAGGGCTAAGACCTATGCAACCAGACTGGCCAGCTCAGCTAGGGCTAAGACCTATGCAACCAGACTGGCCAGCTCATCTAGGGCTAAGACCTATGCAACCAGACTGGCCAGCTCAGCTAGGGCTAAGACCTATGCAACCAGACTGGCCAGCTCAGCTAGGGCTAAGCCCTATGCAACCAGACTGGCCAGCTCAGCTAGGGCTAAGACCTATGCAACCAGACTGGCCAGCTCAGCTAGGGCTAAGACCTATGCAACCAGACTGGCCAGCTCATCTAGGGCTAAGACCTATGCAACCAGACTGGCCAGCTCATCTAGGGCTAAGACCTATGCAACCAGACTGGCCAGCTCAGCTAGGGCTAAGACCTATGCAACCAGACTGGCCAGCTCATCTAGGGCTAAGACCTATGCAACCAGACTGGCCAGCTCATCTAGGGGCTAAGACCTATGCAACCAGACTGGCCAGCTCATCTAGGGCTAAGACCTATGCAACCAGACTGGCCAGCTCATCTAGGGCTAAGACCTATGCAACCAGACTGGCCAGCTCAGCTAGGGCTAAGACCTATGCAACCAGACTGGCCAGCTCAGCTAGGGCTAAGAATTACTCAGCCCGACTGGCCAGATCAATTAAGGCTAATCTCCGCAACCCGACTGGTTTAATTTTATTTTATCCTTCTTTTTTTATTTACTTTGTTTTTTTTTTTTTGTTTTTTGTTTTTTTCAGTAGATTAATTATACAAAAAACTGTCCAATTGTTGTATAATTTATCTACGGATAAAAAAGAATTATAAGATCTTATGGAAATTATATAAAAAGACTTAATAATCAAAGTACCTTGTCTGTCATATTTAATGAAGCTTGCATATATATATATATATATATATATATATATATATATATATCTATATATACATGTATATATATATATATAAATACATGAATTATTCACACAAAACTAATGCAAAGGTTAATGATTTAAATGGCGAGACATCCATCATCGCAAACAATTCAAATACCTCCAGATCCGTTATGAATGAATTGATCCTTGTTTATATAAATTTCTGCCGTATTAGTTGTTATTTTTACTACAAGCTTTCGTCTGTTCCTACAGACATCTTCAGGTATATAATAGATGTTGTTCTTGTTTTTTTTTTAGTAATAAGAGGACATCGAAAATATATGTGTTATTGTATCCGAAATGCTATTGAAAATGAGTTATTGGTTTTTGAATGCGCCAAAGCAACGCTGAGTTTGATTTTAAATTTTTTTAAATGTTTGCGTTTATACCAAATATGGTATAATTGCTAAGAGAAAAAAACAAGAACAACATCTATTATATACCTGAAGATGTCTGTAGGAACAGACGAAAGCTTGTAGTAAAAATAACAACTAATACGGCAGAAATTTATATAAACAAGGATCAATTCATTCATAACGGATCTGAGGTTTTTGTACTATTTGAATTGTTTGGTGATGATGGATGTCTCGCCATTTAAATCATTAACCTTGCATTAGTTTTGTGTGAATAATTCATGTATTTGTAAATTGATTGCACGTTTATTGTAATATATATATATATATATATATATATATATATATATATATATATATGTGTGTGTGTGTGTGTGTGTGTGTGTGTGTGTGTGTGTGTGTGAAAAATCAATATGACTTTATTCCGACAGAATAAGGAACACATAGGAAATCATTGTAAATTTAACATGTTTCATTTTAATTAACCTTCATCATAAATTTGGAGAAATGAGGTGTAGGTGAAGGCTAATTAAAAGCGAAACATGTTAAATTTATGAATATTTACTATTTGCTTTTATTCTACAATATATATATATATAGATATATATATTATTGTATATATATATATATATATATATATATATATATATATATATATATATATATATATGCCTTTTATTTTTCTGTCTACTTTTAGCTTGCACATATTGCTATTTCCACCCGTTAAACTGAACATAAACGCTTACATTATTAACTATGGAATATAAGCTGTTCTATATAATGAGGACGTTCAATAACGATATGTAAAAGTCAAGTCTTTTCGTTTTTACATATCTCATATACATCTTACATCTTTGCGTGTTTTCCCTTTCGTTCGCGGCCGTCCATAAACTCCAACCAATCAAGAGACGAATTCTTTGAAGCGTGATGCTGATCGGTTCCATAGGAGAGTTCCAAACATGCTCCACTCCCCTGTTCACAGACGAACTGTTAAAAGAGTGCGCTATCGACTAAAACCTGCTCATATCTGACACTCCTCACGCTGAAAACTTTCTCCGAAATCTCGCGATAAAAGCTTCCACAGCGGTTTTCAGCTAGTTTTTTTTGTCTACCTATTTTTTGTGCCTAGGTTTTGTCTTTATTGGTTTCTTTAGAGCGCCTTTATTATTTAGTACTAGTTTTTTTTTTTTCTTTTCTTTTTTGTTTTTTGTTTTTTTCCTGTGTTTCATTTTGTGCCACTCAAATGCGTGGAGTCGACAGGAAAAAGGAAAACCATATAGGGAGTGATTGTCGATTCGTGATGAGTGACAGTCATCTATCGGCTTTGACTGTTAACCTCACTTTGGCTTTTCTCTTCATCTATTTCCAAAATTCTTCCTTTTTCTCATCTACACTCTTCTTTTCTGCTTCCTTCTTCTTCTGCTTTGCTTCATCATCTTGCGTTTTATTTTGATTCTTTCTTCTTCTTCTTCTTCTTCTTCTTCTTCTTCTTCTTCTTCTTCTATTATTTTAACATTCACTAACATTCCCTGACATAACTACCACTAAAAAAATCATAAATTATCTCATTTCTACCCTTCCTCTTCTTTCTTTCGTTCTTTCTTTCTTATAATTTCCACTTTCCCCCTTTTTGTTGTTGTTCTTTCTTTCTTTCTTTCTTTCTTTCTTTCTTTCTTTCACCTTCTCTTCCTTCTGTTCTGCAGTTGAAATATTTATAATTCCTTTCATTTTCATCTTCATTTACTTTCTTTCTTTCTTTCTTTCTTTCTTTCTTTCTTTCTTTCTTTCTTTCTTTTTGTTCTGCATCTGAAATATTTTTAAGTACCTTCTCGTCTATCTTTCATTTTTCTTTTTTCTTCCTTCCTTCTTTTTTATTTTTACTAGTTTCAATTTTTTCTTCTTCCCTTTTTTCAAAATATTTTCATTCTTGCGTTATTTCTAAATACCTTATTTCTTCTTCTTCTTCTTCTTCTTCAGCCGCCTCTTTCTTTCTTACGCATTCTGGCTTCTACTATTTATCATTCTTTCATGAGATTCGTTGAACTTCTTCCTTTCTTTCTTTTCATTCCTCATCATCGTCATCCTTTTTTTCAACTTCTTTCTCCTTTCTCTTTACTCCTCTTTTTCGTTTCTTCACCTATTTTGCCTCTTTTTATCTTTGTTTTTACTTTATTTTATCAAATTAGCATCCTTCAATTATTCTCATTGTAACATTTTCCTCCTTCTTGCCAAAATATCATAGCCCCTCTTTACTGTCTCCCTTATCCCACCTTTTCATACAGTTCCTCCTTTCGGTTTATTCTTTCTTTCTTCGTTTATTCTTCCCGTTTCGCCTCCATACCCAGCAACCATTTCTCTTTTTTGGCACAACGTTAACTTTCCCCTACCCAAAAATCTGTCATTTCCGCCTTCTGCAAGACTCTGACGGGGCTGTCAAAAGATTATTTTTATTCCAATCGTACACCGAAATGGCTTGGGAACACTGAAAAATGCGCATGCGTGCTAAAAGAGAGGGCGGGCCGGCCGACCACTGTGCTGTATGGCATATGGTGGGGAGGTTTCTCTACATATATGGTAATAAACGTTTACGACTTTCTGTATGTGTATTTATGTGTGCGTATGAGTGTCATGTGTATTAGTGAACATTTTTAGGTGGCATGTTCAAGAGTGCATGGATATAAATGAATACTTATGTTACAGTCAAAGAAATATTAAATAGTGTCTGTGTCGAGATGAGAATGGAATGCGTGTATTCATTTATGTGAATGGATGAACTGTTTGAATATAATGTGAGCGCAGGTGTATTTATTTATATCTGTATGTTTGTGTGTGTATATGTGCATGTATGTGTGTGTGAATGAGTACGCAAGCGATTGATTGATTGATTGTTATGTTTTAACAGCATTTAAAGGCCAAATGTTCGTTTCTTTTTTTAAATTAAATATAAAGCATATAAATAATTCTTTGGTTTGTTGGTTCCATTATTCTTCTGTTAGGTTTCTTGAACAGAGTCATTTAGTGCTATAATTTATCGTATAGTCCAATCTCCTTCAATTATGCTAAGGTAATATCTATTTTTATCTTGCAAAAGAGCCTCTAATACTGGTCATGTCATAAAATCAAGGTTACTACAATCAGTATATGCCTCCTAACATGCTGTACGTCCAGGAGGATGTACATTTTTTAGGAGAAATGAACGAGCGATATAGGTGTGTCCCATTATTATTCTTGACAGGACGACTTTTCCATCCGAGAAAGTTTAACGTGTGGTAGTTCCATAGCTCTTACCACAGGAATATAAGAGTTTATAGTTACTTTGAAGTCGGTTCCATTCTCCGATGACGTCTAAAATGACGGTATTTTAAACTATTCTTATTCGGCTCTTTTATGGAGTCTTGTTTTCATCTTCCAGTTTGCAAAACCATATACAGTTCGCCATTTGCAAAGCAAAAACACTGGCACTTGGCGCTGTCGGTGCAACGGAACTAACCCAAGTACAGAAAACTGTCACCTACTGACAAAGAACTTATGCGGTGCATTATATAGTAAAGATAATTCGGGCTCATCGACTACTAGTGTTAGAAATGAGAGAGAACAGACTGAGATAGATAAATAGATAGATACATAGATATGAATAAACTGAGATAGATAGATATGAATAGATTGGGAAGGATAGATATGAATAAATTGAGATAGATAGATAGATAGATAGATAGATAGATAGATAGATAGATAGATAGATATGAATTAACTGAGATAGATACGTAGATATGAATAGATTGGGAAGGATAGATATGAATAAACTGAGATAGATAGATAGATAGATAGATAGATAGATAGATAGATAGATAGATAGATAGATAGATATGAATTAACTGAGATAGATAGATAGATATGAATAGATTGGGAAGGATAGATATGAATAAACTGAGATAGATAGATAGATAGATAGATAGATAGATAGATAGATAGATATGAATTAACTGAGATAGATAGATAGATATGAATAGATTGGGAAGGATAGATATGAATAAACTGAGATAGATAGATAGATAGATAGATAGATAGATAGATAGATATGAATTAACTGAGATAGATAGATATGAATAGATTGGGAAGGATAGATATGAATAAACTGAGATAGATAGATAGATAGATAGATAGATAGATAGATAGATAGATAGATAGATATGAATTAACTGAGATAGATAGATAGATATGAATAGATTGGGAAGGATAGATATGAATAAACTGAGATAGATAGATAGATAGATAGATAGATAGATAGATAGATATGATATTAACTGAGATAGATAGATAGATATGAATAGATTGGGATAGAATAGAAGATAAAAATAAACTGAGATAGATAGATAGATAGATAGATAGATAGATAGATAGATAGATAGATAGATAGATAATTAACTGAGATAGATAGATAGATATGAATAGATTGGGAAGGATAGATATGAATAAACTGAGATAGATAGATAGATAGATAGATAGATAGATAGATAGATAGATAGATATGAATAAACTGAGATAGATAGATATGAATAGATTGGAAAGGATAGATATGAATAAGCTGAGATAGATCGTCGTAGGAGCTGGCAGTTGAAGACAGTCTTAGGAATTCCAGCAGCAATTTTGTCCCCAATGTTTTCTCCAGACGTATTTCTAATAAAATGCATCAGGGTTTTTTTTTAAATATGGGGGGCGGGGGTATATGCCCTTTCCTAGAATACTTGGTACATTAAACAATTACATCAATAAACAGAAGAGTGGGTTAATTTTCTCTAAGAACCATACGTTAGTCTCTATCATATTTGAAATACATGTAAGTATATACTGATCTTAGGCTAGTCACTGCTCAGCATCATGTTAAGGCACATAATGAGGGTTTTGCTCACTACATTTTCTTTATCAATTTATCTCAATCAAGGCGATAATGCCGATATGATGCAAAGGGTTATTAGATGTGAAAGTGTTTGAAATGTCTTTAGAAAGGATCGGAAACCCAATACTAAACAGGTAAACAAGAGATAAACCTCCGTTCCTGTTCAAGAAACCGGGAAGGAGTGTGAACCGGGCGACAGGCAAACCTATCTACTCCTATTAAATGTGTGTTAACATACAGTTCAATTTATTTAGTTGCTTAGTCTTAGGATCTTGGTCCTTCCTGTATATGACGATAAACTACATCCGGATGCAAGGCCACTGATAGGGAGATTGGAGGTCTTCAGGTCTTCTTAATTGCTGTTGTTCCCAGATCCAATTGTTCACCCAAGCTTACGCCATCTGATATTCCCAAGAGGTTGTCCATCTAGGTACTGACCCGACTTGATGTTGCTTAACTTCGGCGATCGTACGGGAACCGGTGTTTCAACGTGATGTGGCCGTAGGCCTTAAGAAGCCGGAAACGTTAATAAAAAAAATGATTTTGCATATATACCTACATGGAGAGGAAAATGAGAGCGGGAACGGAAGGACTGACTTCAATATGAAGATATACATACATATATATATATATATATATATATATATATATATATATATATATATATGTGTGTGTGTGTGTGTGTATGTATTAATATTAATATTTTTGATTTACTTAGTTTATTACACGGACATCAAATTCCAAAAGGTATAATTTTACAAAATGGTTTTCAATAATATAAATGCCTAGAAAATGGATTTTCTAGGTCAAGTGTCTAGACTTCCTGTTATCAGTTTTTTTTTTTTTTTTTTTTTTAATATTGTCCGGATAGATTTAAACCATTTTGTAAAATTATAATATTTGTAATTTCGGTCTGATGAGACAAGTATTAAAAATTTACTTGCCGAAATAAATTGCAAATTTATAATTGTTTTCGATGATGCGTTAAGATTTTCCTTGATATATATATATATATATATATATATATATATATATATTTTACCAGTAAAAACGAATTCACTTATCACCATATTTGTATAAGAATGCACAATTGTAAAATTTAAATTCAAACTCAGCGTTGCGACAGCACACTCCAAAAACAATAACTCATTTCTAATTGCATTTTTCGGATTACAACAATACATATATTTTCGTTGTCCTCTTATTACTGAGAGAAAAAACAAGAACAAAATCTATTCCATACCTGATGATGTCTGTAGGAACAGACGAAAGCTTGTAAAAATAATAAGAACTCATGGAACAGAAATTTATAGAAACAAAGATCTTTTCATTCATAAACAGGTTCGGGGTTTTTGTATATTATTTGAATTGTTTGCGACGGTGGATTTCTCGGCAATTAAATCATTAACCCTTGTATTTGTTTTTTGTATGAATAATTCATGAATATATATATATATATATATATATATATATGCACAGTCCATCTGAAGTTATTATACAAATTGCATAAACTTCAATAACTAGAATTTGCTTTGAAAAATCTTTGGAGAATATTTGTCAAATTTCAAACGATTAATTTAGACGTCAAAACAAAGATTAAATTAATTGTTTACGTAGTTTCAACATGTTTTATTGAAATGATTGCATTTATTATAAAAACTTTAGTCTGAACTTATTATGCAGATTAAACTAATATTAGTTGAAGGCCTCCGAAATCTAATAAAACTATTGTTTCTTTTTTCCATAATATATGTTGAAACATGGGTAAATGGAAGGGATCTAACAAATGCTAAAAGACAGAAAATAACAGAGTTATTGAGTAAGAGAATGCCCAGATTGGAAATATTAGGGAAGTTTCACAGAGATCACTGAACGATAAAGAAGGCTGTTTAAAACTAAAAGTTGAAAACTAGAAGCAAAGGAAAAGTCTTTGAAGACTAAAAGGGAACGTAAATTAAAGCGAGTTATAACAAAATTGGGCCAAGATCTACATGAATATTGACTCTTCCTAAGTAATTTTCACGGATGAATTTCGGGTAACAGTCGATAGACCTGATCGATGGGCCAAAGGATAGATTTTATCCGATGCAGATATGCCTGTGGCTAAACGAAAGCGGCAAGGAGGTGGCAATGTGTTGATAGGGCTGGAATTATCGACTAAACCATGATTGGTCCATTCAAAGTCGATGAAGAAGTTAAACTGAATAGTTCTAACTATTGCGATTCCATGGCCATGACTTTCTTTACATGGTACAAGTCCTACCTTCGCAGTTTCAAAGTGTTTATTTATGCATGACACTATTCCTTCTCATGTATCTAAGGTTACCAGTTACTTTCCTGTAAAAGGTCTACAGGAGAAAAATAATGGAATGCCTACCAATAGGTCCCGATCTGAATCCGATAGAAAATCTATGGTCAATTGTGAAGATGGAATTATATGAAGGTAGCAATTAATATAACAGTAAAGCAGACCTATGGAAAGCAACTAAAACGACCATGTTGGAAAATGAACCTACTGAAGTAAAACATTTAACAAAATTAAATAATAATATATTGTTGGCTTTTATTGAGAAGAAGAGTCACGATATTAAGATATTTAAAGACTCATCATATATGTTTATTATTTGTTCTATTATAGGTATTGGTGATTTAATTAGCGTGTTATTAAAATAAAATGTGATAATCTGGTTTTGCATAATAAATTCAGATTGCAGTTTTATAATAAATCCAATAACTTTAATAAAAGTTGAAACTACCTAAATATTTAATTTTAGGTTTGCTTGGACGTCTAAATTAATCGTTTAAGTTTGACAAAAATTGCTCAAAGCAAATTTGAGTTTTTATGATTTATATGATTTGCATAATAATCCAGACGGAATGTATATATATATATATATATATATATATATATATATATATATGCATATGAATACAAATGAGAATTTTTCTGAAAATAAATGTACACCACGATTCCATATATACGGCATATAGTTAGATAAGTTCTAATCATCGTAGTGAATGCGTATTGTTGATGAGTACCAAAAATAGGACGAAATGGTTGTCCAGTGGTTTCTGTATTCCCTTGAGGATTCTGCTAGTATCGATGAATGCTATAATGATTTGTCTAAATCCCCAAAATTCTATTACACACACACACACACACACACACACACACACATATATATATATATATATATATATGATTTGTTGCCAAAATACATATATATATATATATATGTGTGTGTGTGTGTGTGTCTGTGTGTGTGTGTGTGTGTATTTTGGCAGCAACTTCTCTTTTAGGCATGTCTGATTGAATAAATTACAAACATTATGTATGCTTTTTTTTTATCAAAATCCTTTCATATTCACGAATATTTTCGCGTATATTACAATTAAATAAGGCAAGCAATGCACTGTAACAGGGAAAATCACTTTTATTTCACAAGTAATTTCCATCTCTCTCTGAGATATCAGGAAGAGACAGAAAGTACTTGGGTAATAAAAATGATTCTTGCCTCATTCGATTGTAATATACGAAAGAATATTCATGAAAGGGTTATGATAAAAAACAAGCAGGCATAATATTTGTAATTTATTCAATCAGACATATATATATATATATATATATATATATATATATATATATATATATATATATATATATATATATATATATTTATGCATATTTCATTAAATAATATAGACATGCGAGAGTGAAAAATGAGAAGTATTAAGTATGGGAAGCCGTTGGTATAAACAGAAGCCATTGGTTTATATGTGTGACTTCACGAGCTGCGACGCGATTTTCGCTTCCGCGTCTCGTATATATAAGTTTGTCGTTTCTTTGAAATTTTTCATGGAACAAAAACAGACTATCATTATTGTTTCGTCCGTGTATTGGTTGATATATTGAAATGTAATATTCTTCTTTGATAATGGCTTATGTAAGCCGAAAGATTAGATTGGATTTAAACATGTATCAATATGGTGATTTCCTTTCGTCTTTCAATGATAATGTTATTAAGCTTATCAGACAATATGAAAGGAACTTACTTAAAATAAATGGACAAAACTTGTCTATATTATTTAATGAAACATGCATCAATGAAAAATTGCTGCCTAAATAAGTACAATATATATATATATATATATATGTGTGTGTGTGTGTGTCTATGAGTGTATCTCTGTTATGTAATTATCATATGTTAACATATATGCTATGACTTTGTGTGCAAAGCGAAACGAATTCCCTCGAAGTTTATTTAATCAGTTAAATGAACCTATTAATGCAATAAAAATGTCAGTCACTCTTGGAAAGCACTTAGAACTTTTGTGTGGAAATCATATATTTTATGACTCAACCGTGTTATCTGTATAGTTAAGTGTTTTGTCAGAGCAGAGAACTATCTTCACTTGTTATTTAAACGTTATTATTTTTACACAAACATGGTTTTCGTCACCGGGTATCAGATAAAAATGTCAAAAGTTTTTGATAAAAGAGAAAAAAAAAAGTACTACTGAATATTATTTTTTCTTCGTGAGCATGGTCATAGTGGTTTTTCCACCATCCAAACGACCAGTTCCATATTTTCTCTCTCACTGACCCACACTCCCAAAATAATCCCGACTTTATTTCTATACAATCTTTTTCACTCTTTTTACTTACATATTTTCCCACATATTCCATAAACATCTCTATATTTATTCCAACGTTCCGTTTGCCATTATTTTTACTTTGTATTTTGAATTCTGTATATTTCTCTTTCTCTCTCTCTTTCCCCGTATTTTAATTCATACTTTTTTACCCTTGATGCTTCTATATTTTCTTCTTGCCTTTCATCAATTAGTGGACTTTTGCATACACCTAATATTCTCTCGAAAACACACACGCACACACACACACACACACACACACACACATATATATATATATATATATATATATATATATATATATAGATAATATTAGTGGAAAATATACATACGTATGCAAAATATATAAATACCCATAAATGTATATTTTCAGAAAAAATTTCAAGAGGAAGAATCCAGGTAGGACTCAATGTCTAGGACAGAGTAAGGATATAATAAAAGGCTTAAAACACTAATCTTGACCATGGAATATTAGTGTTTAAGCCTTTTATTATATTATATATATATATATATATATATATATATATATATATATATATATATATATATATAGTTAAATTCTGTGATGAATTCTGTGGACAAGACAGACTGGCATCAAGTGACAATTGGAAAAAATTTACATTTTGCTAACGCGTTTCGTCTTCCGACTTTTCAAGGCAAAATGAAATAACAAAACAACAATAATATAACAAAAAAACATTTCGATTTCATTTTTGCCTTTGAAAAGTCGGAAGACGAAACGCGTTGGCAAATGTAAGATTTTTCCAATGTGTATATATATATATATATATATATATATATATATATATATATATATATATATGTTTTCATTAAAAAAGGTATAGCCGTAAT